GAATTCTGGGAGTTGAAGTCCACCCATCTTAAAGTTCCCAAGGTTGAAAAACACTGCTCTAGGTGGACTTGACAAAGTCTACAGACTTGTCATATGGCCTTGGTGGTTTTCCAATGGAGGCTGAAGTTACCATTATATCAAGGAAGGTTAAAAAGTAAATTCACATACCTGGCCAGAAACTAGTCAAGAATTGCTAATATACACCCTGTAACCAGCTGTCCTTATGCCACTTTCTCTTCTTGCTATGTCCCCCCTCCCCTGTTTATGGTGTATTGCAGTTGGGTTTCCCTGTTTCCTGATTATGCATATTATTTTTGCAGTTTTCAACTATGCTATCCAAAGCTTCCTTACAGGCTATTTATCTTTGTTAGCGCTGGATGATTGTAGACACTTTGTCTACTCTTTGTCCAATGTTATCTTGGAAAGTAGATCAACAGCAGGACAATACAATTATTTGGTTGGATCCAGAGAGTGACTCCCCCCTCCCTTGATAGGCATCTATTTGGATTTCAGAGAATTGGAAAAGTGGATCTGGCCTGGGGTTTAATCTGGTGCATAAAAGTTCCTCATCTGATTCCCAAATTCTTTAAGAAGATCCGATCCCTTTTCCCAAACTTCCACCCCTCTTCAGTGGCCCTGGCCCTCCCCCTTATTTCTGCATTCTGATTCACTTCTGATTTATTCTCTTCCCTAGGTAGGACAGCTCTAATATTGCCTGTTTTTCAGATCTTTAAAAGTGGTACTTGCTTTCTTCTTTTTCTCCCTCTTCTTCCTGATGCGCAGTCTCACGACTGAACAGCCTTGATGCAGCCGTCCACCGTCTCAATGTGCAGTTCTATCACATGGATGTGCGAGTGTCACAGTTCTCCCAAGGCTTGGCTGAATTGAAGGGGGGCCTGGCTGAGGCTCGCGAGTCACTTGCCTCCCTGAATGAAGTTGCCACACGCAACCAGAAAGAACTTGGACGCATTGATGGTGAGGATGGAAAAGGGGAGTGAAATCAGCCTTTTTTTTTTTTCCTTCTGTAGCAATGTTTCCCAACCTCAGCGATTTTAAGAAGTGTGGACTTCAATTCCCAGAGTTAAAGTCCCCACATGTTAAACTTGGCCGAGGTTGAGAAACACTGTTCTATAGGATGTGAGTTACAATTCAACACTTAAAAGCCCAGGGTTGAGGAAAACTGTATTAGCATCCTGCATGAAACTAATCCCAGCAACAATAAACAAAAGATAATCGGGCTGAGCTCAAATCTCCAGAAGCCCAAGTGTCTTTGATCTACAGCCTCCAAGGAATGGGAGGCCCAGAATCTTTGGAATTTGGAGGTCACTCTGAGAGCTGGTTTCAGCCTCTGAAGCTACCAGTTGCCAAATCCCTCCACAAGGGAAAGCTCACCGTTTTCTTTTACATACAGCAGAGGTCCTATTGAAAGAGCCAAATGTAATACACTGCCCAGGGCCAGCTGATCTCTGCTGTCTGCAGAAGACAAAAGGATCACATGAAAGGTTATTCAGGCTGAGGAAGAGTTGGCTGAAGTCTGCGCGTGAGTTGAGCTGAGAGAAGAACAAAGAGGAGGAACCCAGTTTTCAAGGTCATTCCCCTGCTGTTGTGTCTGTTATACTGCAGTGTGGTGAAATATTGGACCAGGATTGATTGGGGAAACATAGGTTTAGGTTCACCATTAGCCACAGAAAGCCATTGGATGACTTGGGTCTGGTCCTCCTCTCTCTGCCCAACCTATTTCACAGTTATGGGGATAGAAGGAAAATCTTGCACCCTTTTGAAGAAAGACAGGAAATAAACCTAGCAAATAAATAAATCATTGTTCATACATTTTTCATGAACTTTCATAAAGATCATAGGGCAGGGATTTGGCCCCTTGCATTCTATATACCTGATAAATACAAAACCACCACTACTACTAACCATCATCTTTGCCCCAACCTAGGTTGCTTGCGGGGCCGACGCACTCAGAGCAAGTGCTTCCTGATCTTCAAGCACTTTGAGGTCTATGATGGAGCCCAAAAACTCTGTGAAGCCAGAGGAGGGCATTTGGCCATGCCAGCGGATGATACCGAGCTGGCTGTCCTGCGCCGCTATCTTTATGATGCCTTTCAACCCTACAACTGGCCGGCCTGGGTGGGCATCCATGACCGGCGTTCCGAAGGGTTGTGGCTTTTTGAGAATGGCCAGCGCGTCTCTGTCTTTGACTGGTACCGAGACCACCTGGTGACTCAACCCAACGGTGGTACCCGTGAGAACTGCGTCTCCCTCAGCTCGGATGATGGGAAATGGTGGGACAATGACTGTGAGAGGCGCATGTATTACATCTGCGAGTATCGCCTCTAGTGGGGCATCCCTTTTCATGCTCAGCCCCTGGTGCTCCTGGTTGCACGGGTGCCCTTTCACTAGTAGCATGTGGGTGCAGTGAGAGCTAAAAGTTCTGGGAAATTCCACCCCTTCCCAATTTTTACTTTCCCTTCTTCACTTCCCATAACCTATCCCAGCCTGGTACTCTTCAGATGTATGGAACGGCAACTTCCTGACATTTTTGTCAGGATGAACTTTTCTGTGCTGATTAGAAATTGGGGGAATTTCAGTCCCAAACAAGCAGACAGCATTTCACTGAGGAAGCAGCTGTACCCCAGTCTGCAGGGAAAATGGAAAAATTTCTAATTGCATTATTAAAGTAGGTAAGATGTGTTCAGCTTCTAAAAGGTTTAATCTGTTTGTTTTTCTTTGGAAGTCTCTGAAAAAGCCAAAAAAGACATTTGGGGCCCATCCTTCTTTGGTGACATCCCTGAAACACTGGCACGCCCCCTGCAGGCCTTGGGGGACAATTTTTGAAATGCAAGTCTCCTGGTTGGGGAAAAAAAAATCACCTATTTAGCCCTACAGTAAAAGGAAAAGAAGGCATATAAAAGTGCCTCTTGCTTCTTCTTTAGTGCGTAATGAATTTACAGTAACAGTTTAATAGGAAATCCAGTATTCAGTAGATGTCAAAGCCAGGGAAAAAGCTTAAAATCTAAATCTGAATACCTCCCTAATTCACTGACAACATGAAGATTGTTGAGTCCATTCCTCATTGGACCTCTTCAGGGATGGTGGAACTCAAACTGAGTTGGGATCATAGTCTTGCAAAGTTTCAGCCCTCTGTCCCTACCCTAGTTAACTGACCCAGGGACCTATTATTAGCATTGGAAGGAAATCTCCTTCTTGTGTCTCTGGAGAGCTTCTCTCCTATTGCCCTGCACTTGTAACTGCTGTTGGGACAAAAAGGGTCCCCCTCCTGTATGATTTGGATGGGTAGTCTGGACCCACAGGACTGCACACAGCTCCTAAACCCTTTTTATAGATCCCAAAGCTCCTTCCAACCACAATTGCTGAAAACCAGCCCTAGTGTTCCGACATTTTGAGGTACAAAACAAAATCTGTTGTGTGATCCCTAAAATAGATGAACAAGGGAATTACCCTAAACTCTCCCTTAAACCGGGGGGGGGGGGGACACAAACAAACCCTGACTCCATCCATTTGTATGATTCAGCCCCACCTATTTTGCATCATTGCCCTACCCCTGAATATAATACTGTCTACCCAGTAATATGCCATGGTCCCTATCTGCCCCATATCAAGATGATGATTAAATCAATTTTCTTTTTAAAGTTCTATAAATTAAGAGGTTACAATTGAGTCTACATTTTTCATAAAAACTGAAAGTGATGCAGTGAGAAAGAATCAAAGCTTTCTGAAAGCAGGGATGAGTAACAGATACCTCTTTCCAGATGTTGAATCCAATATCCCAGTAGTAAAAGCAAAATTATGTTGGAGTTGAGCTCTTGATGACTTACATGGATGCATTCATGCAGCTGACATTTCTCATCCTCCCTCCGCAAAATGGTTTGCTGCTGCCTTCTGCTGAGCTATTTTTCCAAAGTTCCTGTAATTCAACAGTCCTTGACTTTCCAGGTGTCACCCCTCTGAGTATTAAGCAGAGCCAGCACTGCTTAGCTTTCCAGATCAGCCAAGGTTGGTTAGGCACTGTCACCTGCTGAGAACCATATTCTATTAGCTGTATCTCATATGGATAGTACTAAGAAGGATGATGCCCAACAGCTAGTGGGCCTCATATTGCCCACCAGATACTACCAAACTACAAATTCCAGCAGGAACAGGACAATAATGAGAGGCACTAAGAGATGCCATTCAGCAACATGTAAAAAGGCCCTATGTTCTTCACCCCAGCACTAGGAATAGTGTTTGCCCCAGCTTAAGCATCATCTCTTGTGACACTGGCCACTATATGGCAGGTTGTCCTCCCTTTTGGCACCAATAAAAATGCAATGGCTCCTGGATATTCTCAGATACATAAAGGGACAGCCATGAGCAATCCACCAGATGTGCTCAGCAGATGTGCTCTGGTTGGAACTCTTAGCGAGAGGCAGCTCTATAACTTCCACTATTCCTAGCCCATTTGGAGAAAAGTTGGATGAGACTAGCAACCAAGGCCAACAGGACTGAGTTATAGTCAGAGGGTAATGCCTTATTCACATCAAATAGGGCCAAAGTGGTCTATTTTCTATGCTCTTTTGCTCCACTTGCATCCTTGGACATTGGTGCCCTAGCATCAACCTTCTATTACTTTCTGGGCATAAATTCCTTCAGCCCTCACCCCACCCCACCCCTGCATCCTTAGCACCAGAAGCACCATCTTTTTAAATAAAACATCTTTTATTTTCTTGTTGAACCACTGTTCTTTGATTTAAAAAAAACCTCAAATAAAAGCTAAATAAAACTTATTTTAAAGTGAAGAGGGGGAAGGAAGGTGGAATCGTGGATCTTGTCTGTATACCTTATAAAAGATGTAAACCTGTTTTCAACTGTTCCTCTTTTGTGTGATAACTTTGAACCTTTTAACGTGTGCAGACAAAGGAGGGGGGAGGACAGGAGAGGAGGCCAAGGGAGGCATATATGGGGGAAGGGGTATCCAAAAAAATGATCAAGGTGCAATGAAGAGAGGAATGGTTAATACTTTCTTTGGTTTTTAGGTCAATGTAATGCCCCAGAAATGGAAGGAAGGCCAGAGGAATCATAGTACTTTTCTAACATCCCTTCTTCTTTTGACTCTGTATCTTGGTTTTTGGGGATGGGTGGGAAGAGAAGGGAAAACAAAGGATGCTGGATATATTCACAGAATCCATAGTGCAAGTAAGATACCTCAGCACCGGGGAGTTCCCCACCTACTATGTTGTCCACCATCACTCCAGAAGACAATAAAATAAGGGAAAAAGGTATGATTAGGTATGAGTATCTTTTGTTTAAATACTCCAGGGCTCCTTGCAGAGCAAAACCACCTCAACCCCAACCACCTGCCTGCTTGGTGTGTGCCTGAATTACAATCCAAACCACTTGAAATATTCCATGCCATCCTTCTGTTTCCCCGAAACCTGTGCCGTCATTATCTTCAGCTCCCTACACGATTCAGTTCCTTTATTTTTCCCCCCTATCTGCTCCCAATTACAGATCTGTCTCCCCATTGTAGGCATGGAATAGTCCAACCCTTTTTTGTGCCCCCACTTACTTTTAATGCATCACTTCTGTTCTCAAATATTTTCTCCTTCTGACCCATGCCCGGATTGTTCCCGCCCTCTGTGGTATCTTTTCCCTGAGGGGTGAGGACTACTGTATAGACTACACACCCATACACACCCTCAAACCCTCAATTCCCTTACATTTATGGAATATTCCAGCACATCAGCCCTCCTACTCCTTTGGAAGATTTAACATGATCTAATTTGGTCTCCTCCCCCATCCCCCCCTCCAAACAAAGCCTACTAAAAGCCACAGCTGTTTCTTTTATTCCAGATCAGCCTTCCTCAGCCTGGTACCCTACAACTTCATTGAACTAATATATTCATAGCTCCCAAGCAGCTGGTGGGAGTAGATGGAAATTGTAGTTCAATACCTGGACGATGCACTTTGAGGAGGTTTGCCCTAGTTTGGCTCATGGACTTTCCCTCCCCCACCCCGCCAAACCACTCGAATGGTTTGCCCTATTCCACTTTTACTTCCTCTCTGGAAGTAAAACACACAGACCGTATTCTCCCTCTGGATCTTTTGGTCAGCCTGGCAGAGGGAAGTAGGTACAGGACACGTGGAAGCCCTTCTTCTGTGTCACTCAATCTTATGTGGTGGGATGCTCTAGGACTCTGCAGACAGATGCCCACCCAAACCTGCTCTCGTTGTGTATTCTAATAGAGCATGGCACGGTTGCCATGGAGGAACAAGAGCATATCAACATGCTCTGGTGTCAGGGCTTGGCGCTTAGTGTGGATGGCATCCCCAGCGCTGCTGAAGAGCCAACCAGCAGGCACTGAGGTGGCAGGCACGCCTAGGAGCTTGCGGGCTGCCCGGGCCAGCAGTGGGTATTGGGTATGGTGGATCTTCCACCACTGCAGGGGTTCCTGAGCAAGGGCAGATGCTTTGCTGGTCTGGAAGCTGGCTGTCTCCTGCTCGGCTTGCTGATGGGCAGAGCTGATGCCTGGGCCACCACGCATGCTGCAGAGGTCTCCCAGCAGGAATTCGATGCCTGCATCTTGCTTCGGCAACTTGGCAGGGGGCGACGGGGAAGCCACATCGGGCAGGCTGGAGGTCAAGAAGGCAGGGGCCTCGGCCAGGCGGGACACTTCGGCCTTGAGCAAGTGCAAAGTTTCCACCCGGTCAGAATGGCTCAGGAAGTCAAGGCCACGGAACCGGGGGTCCAGAGCGCAGGCCAGGTTGAGGGCCTGGTTAACATCGGGGCTGGAGAAATGGTGGTTCAGTTCTTTCTGGGCTGCTGCTTTGGCTTCGAGGGCCAGGGCAGAGTCCCACTCGCTGGCCACCAAGTGCTTGTAGAGGAGGCTAGTTAACACAGGCTTGACTAGGGCCAGGCTGGAAAAGGGATCTTTGGTAAATGTTGAGGTAGCAATTGCCATGGGCTTGAGAACTTTGACTATATCCTGAAGGGCAGCCCAGTCCTGCGGGTGTAGGGTTGCCTCTCCATCAGGACCGAGCCCTGACAGAGACTTGCTGTATTCCAGCAGACCCTGCAGGACTGTGTAGATGCTGTGCCATTTGCCCCCATCTCTCAGGAAGCGGCTGAGGTGGGCTTGCAAGAGTGGCTCCTGGAACCACAGTTTCTCGTTACGACCTGCCCCAGTCAGCGCCCAAGAGGCCAAGCGACGGAGACGCTCCAGGGCGCTCTGGGCCGCTGGCTGGCCCAGCACTGCTTCCATTGCTGCCCGCAAGGCCTGCCCGATACAAGGCAGGGCTGTCCACCCCAGGGCCGCAGCTGCTTGCTGGGTGGCAGGGCCAAGGCCTCCCACAGTGTACGAGGTGCTCTCACGCACCCCCCACTCTTTGGTGGCCTCAGCCAGAGCTTCCACCAGGCTTTCCGTGCTGGGGTTCTCAGGAATGGGGCGGCTCGAGAGGACCCGGGCCCGGGCTTCAAAGCAGTCATCCACATAGTGCACAGTGAGTGTGAGGTAGGTCAGAGTGCTGCTGTGGTGCCACACATCCAAACTGAGGGAACACTGGGGCAGGGCCCGCACCAGTTCCCAGATTTTCCCTTTCACCTGGGTATACATGTCCTTCAGCACTGTGTGGGCAAGGGCAGCAGCCTCAGGGGGCTTGTAGTTGGGGTCCAGGACTGCTAGTATCTGCCCAAACCCCTCACCTTCTACCACCTCCACAGGCATCAGGTCCAACACGATAAAGTCAGCCACTGCCCGTGTGGTCCGGCCAGGGACTGGAGGCCGGGGAGCTCCAAACTCGCCTGTCCCAGCTACTCCTTTGTCGAGGGTGGCAGCCTGCGTCCCAACGAGCTGGTTGTACTCACAACGATGCTTGTAAATGAGATGTTGGCGCAAGTTGGTGGTGTTTCCACTGTAGCTCAGCCGGACTCCACACAGCTTGCAGATGATCTTGCTCTTGTCGAGGATGCGGCCGTAAGCATCCCCCTGGAAGCCGAAAAATGTCCAGTAGCGGCTTTGAGCCCTGCCCAGACCCACCAGGTTTTGTGTCCCTTCCAGCAGGGGAAAGGTGCTTCCTCCCACAGGGAGGCCCGGCTTGTGGAGGGGCAGGAAGGAAGAGGCAGTGGCGTCTCCACACAGGTACTGGGTACGTGAGGAAGGAGCATGGGCAGCTGGCGGTGGCGACTGGGTCTTGACATGCAGCTCTTGGAAGAGTTTCATCAGCAATTCTTTCTCGCCAAATTCATATTTGAAATGCTCACCTGTGGGGGAATGGGAGAGATTGCATCACAGGGAAAAGAGCCCCCCCTATATTTGAAGAGTGCAATTCCTGGATGTTTCTTCTTTCTGAGCACTAGAGCACTACCAATTTTGATAGGCTTGTCTGTCCTTTTTCCTGCAACAACCTTCAAAGGCTGAAGTCCCTTCTCTACATTTGCAGATCTGGGGATATGTGCAGTCCTTCACTTAAGTTTCAAAACTCTGCGGTGAGCAAGCAGGGCAGACATCTGGCTAGAGGAATCTACTTTTACTTGTATGGAGAGGGAAAAAGACAGAAATAGAGAGAGAGAAGATGGATGGCCGTATCAACGTCTGATTTTGACCTTGTCCACAACTAGGTTAAGCACCACTGGGAATTGTCATTGGCAATTCTCAGATGATTCCCATGAATAGGGAGCTACCATTACCCAGTGCCTGCAACACCATTAGACAGCCCAGACAGACTTTCCACGTTAAAACAAATAAATACAAATGTAAAAATGGCTGAAAACTCACAATAGCCAAATCATGCAGAGCTCTGCTTTCATATGGGATTCTGTAACATTAATTAAAAAAAATGAAAAAAGGAGTTTTTTTGGTGTCCAGTAGCACTGCATAACTACATGTAATGTCCATTGCCTATAAAGATAGCTGACCCCCAGCCCAAGAGAATGTGACCCCAACAAGAAAAAACCCCTTCATTTTGCTTTAAAGAATTAGGATGCTAAGTCCATCAAGTTAAAAGGGAAGAAGTGAAGCAGGAAAAGCCTCCATTAGCCTGGACTTTGTTTTAAAGTTGTTTATATTTTGGATCTAGGAGGAAAAGAGCCCAGGAACAAATGTTTAGGGGTGCCATCAGCCAAAACCAATCCACATTTTTTCCCAATGTATCCTGAAATCCAGATAATTGAATTAATTGAGTAAACCAGTGTTTCTCAACTTCAGCATGCTGGCTGGAGGAATTCTGGGAATTAAAATCCACACATCTTAATGTTGCTGAGGTTGAGAAACACTGGACTAAACCCTGAATACAGTAAGTGTGGTGTGTGAATACAGTCATCCAGTAAGCTTGTTAAATCAGGCGTGTATAAGCTTTTTCTAGTGAGGCTGAATTCCCTCAAGATATTTGTTGGGGGTCACATGGTGAAAAGAGCTGAAGCAAACGGATGGGTCTAGAGCTAAAAGTGGGTGGGAGATACTCATTTGCCCTATTTGGATGACAGGGTACAAACTTAAAAAACTGCATTAATTGACCCACAGTTGGCAATGTTTGGAGCTAAACCAACCTTTCTAGTGAAGTAACATCACCTGTGTTGTGTGAACTATTTACTACAGAAGTAACTCTCCTAACGTCTGCAATGAAGTACCAGAGAGCCGACCCTCCCCGCTAAAATTCTGACGTCCATGATTGAGATGAAGCCTAGAGAGGCCCTGCTTTTGCCTTTTACCCTCCATAACCAGGAAGTCTGCAAGAGAAAAAGGGGCAGAAATGGATGGGAATATGACTCTACCTATACCAGCTGTGCTGGTCCAACCCAACTGCACTGTTTTCCCACTCTCGGAGAGGAAAAAAAATAACAGAAAGTGGAGAGGAAAGTGACAACCTTCTTAGCCCCTTTTGTGGCAGCTGAGAAGATAAAAATAGGGCTGCCAAATAACTATTTGAATAATTAAGGATTGTGAGTACCCAGCATACAAAGGTGAATCACTGAACTGGGAGAACAAATGATTGGATCATTCCTGTTGTGTGAACAAGGTTATTATTTTCTTAACAACTTATTTTTTCTTTTTTCCATAATAGGCAGCAAGGAAGGGACAAAACCTTTTCCAGAGACCTAAGCTAATCTCTTCCGGAAGCTTGGAAATTAAGCAGTTTGTCTACTTCTGTGTTAAATATACAGGGAGTTCTCGCTTAACTACCACAATAGGGACTGGAAAATTTGTTGTTAAGTGGGCCAGTCGTTAAGCAAGACATTATGTGACCACATCCGTTTTTACAACATATTCTGCGGCGGTTGTTAAGCGAATCACAGTGGTCATTAAGCAAATCATGCGGTTAAGCAAATCACATGGTTCCCCATTGATTTTGCTTGCTGGAAGCCAGCTGGGAAGGTCGCAAATGGTGATCAAGTGATCCTGGGACACTGCAACTGTCGTGTGAGTTGCTTGCCGAGTGCCTGAGTTGCGATCACGTGACTGCGGGGGCACTGCGACGGTCGTAAGTGCAAGGACTGGTTGTAAGTAGCTTTTTTCAGAGCTATTGTAACTTCAAATGGTTGCTAAACACATGGTCGTTAAGCGAGGACTACCTGTACCCCTGACTGAAGTGCAGGGTCATTGGATGTATTTGAACACAATTACTAATGGTGAAATGGTGTGTAAGATAGATAGATAGACAGGTAGGTAGATACATAGATAGATAGATATAGAGATATAGATATTCTTATTGATCTTCATTCTTTTGTTTATGTTTGAATGTGTGCGCACATACATATTAAAAAAGAGGAAAATGTTGATTGCTTAGCTATCAGTCATCCTCTATCCCCTCTAGCCATGCTAGGGATGCCCTAACACGCATTTTGCACTCACCAGGAAATGTAATCCCTGACAATTCTTTTTCTGTCAAAGGATGATGAGTGAAACCCTATCTTACTCCTTACTCAGGATACACATTATTGGGCTGCAATTTGATGCTGTGGTTGCTGTTAAAATTTGGTATCAAAACTTATTACTTTGAATGCCTTATGTTTCTTTCACTTTATGAGCGTCTAAATATGTTTAATTTTTATTCTTGGAAAATCACAATTTTGTGGGAGATTTTTTGGCTTGGCCAGGGCCCAAATTTTGATCCTGCTCCTGTTGATGCTTTTTTTTTTTTTTTCTGCAGCCCTAAGTCTCCAAAGAATCTTCTACCCTTGGTCTACTTGAGACAATATACATACTGCAGCCCACAAAGATAGGGCCCCCAGAGACCCCAACAATCTGTCACCAAATCGCCACTTTTAATATGACAGAAAAGGAAAGTTACGGAGTGTACACCTGGAAAGCAATCACATTAACTGCATTTAATTTTAAATAAAGTGACATGTAAAGAAAACAACACTTAGCTTAATTCTTTAGCTCTACCCACTGCTATTGCGCTCCTGATGTAGAAAATATGGTGCCCCCATGGTCTCAATAGTTTAACCCAGCTTGCCATATTCTTTTAAAAAACCTGAATGGCTGCTATGAGCAAGGGAAACAAGGGGGCTTCTCCCCCTCCCCTCTTTTGCTTACCTAAGCGCAGTCCTAAAGTACGGGCATATTCCTCTCCTATCCACACCAGCAGCTCTGTGTCAGCAGGTATAATTTGGCAGACACGGTAGTAGATGTAACCCCGGTACTGGAATACAGTTAGGTTCTGTTCATCCTCAGTGGAGGCACATGCCACATATCTGCAAGGAGAACAGGGATGATGAGTCACTCCGGTTGGGGGAGGTGTTGGGTTTTACTTCTTGGTTGTTATACCAGCAGTAGTTGCAGATGATGTCTCCAGGGAACTATGGGCCTAGTGGGTTTTAAGAAGGACTCTCCTATGACTAAGGAAGCACCTTCTTTAAGGAATGGTTTGGGCTAATTTGGAATCCCCAAGGACCTCACCTGACAGTATTCGGATTGAAGGCACAAGGGGTGAGGCAATGACAACACTGCATCATAAAAATATGGTGCGACAAAATGAGAATTAAGCATTCACGTATTTCCTTGGACCTGCTCAGTTCTGCTTTAGTAGAAAATTAAAAGGGCAAAATCTCACTTATCCCTATCCTCCCCTCTATGTCCTCCCATGGATCACCAACATCTCACAATACCTCCAGTGAGATTTTGGCACACTTATGCAAGATCTTGAGACAAGTTGGCAATTATTTATTTGCTTTCTCTCTGTGCTGTTATCCGATGGGGTCAGAGATTCCCAAAGATTGCTGTCTTCTGCAGGAGATGTCATAAAAATTGAAATGGTGATCATTTCCCTTGCAGTTTCTTCTGGGCTTCCCTCACAGGATACTCACCTCATCCAGTTGGATTTGGAATCATCAGATGCATCAATGAAAAAATAGGAGCCATTGTCCCGTACCTGGAGAGGGAGTGGAAGGAACAGACAGATCCAATCAAACCCTGCCCACAATTTCTACCTTTACTTTACAATTTGCTTGGGGACTTTAGGCTGGTTGTGGGCAACCTAGAGCCAAGGGAAAAAAGGGCTCAAGAAGTAATGGAGCGCCATCTGCAGTGGATCTGAAAAATTCCATCTATCTTAAAGCAGGGATAGGGAAATCAGGCTTCACAGAGGACCTAAATATTAGAGTTACTTACTACACCACCAAGGTTCACCAACAAAGCTATGCACAAAATAGTGGCTAGGAGAGGAAGAGAGAGATTTGAAATGGCAGCTTGTGAGTATTGTAGAGCAAATTGTACCACTCAAAGTCCTCCTAGTGTATGCAGATACAGGTGAACATCTAGCACAGATGAGATGGTTACTAGAACCCAATGTAGCTTCAGCCCTCCCCTCACTTCATTATGGGCTTTTGTCTACTCAGCTTATTGGGGAAATTGATTCTGTATTTGTTACTCACGATCCCTGAATCCTCCTTCATGGCTGTGCTTCTCTGGAAGGAATATTGTGGATCATGAGTGCTCAGAGCACATTGTTTTCTACCTGGGACAATGAGGCTGCTGGCACTTGTGAGTGTGACCCCCCCCTCCCCAAACAGCTTCTGAACTGTCACGAATGCTTGCAGTATTCTTGGGGAGAGGGTGCGGACCTGCTAGTGAAAATACCACTCTTCAAATCCTGCAGGCGTACCTTTTCAAGCTTCCTCTTTAAAAGGCAACTGCAAGACAGCACAGCAGGGTTTCCTAATACTTGGTTTTAAACTGTAAATCTTTTGTTTGGGTGCATTTTATTTTCTTCTTCATCTTCTGTATAAAATACATTCTTGGAACTCTCCTCTTCCTCTTGAATTGTACTTGGCTAAGTAAAAAAAAAGTGGGGGGAGAGAGGGTCTTCTCTGAAAACACACAACTGACTATGGCAGTATTGCATAAGAGAAAGGCTGCTGGCTTTGGACTGGGGATCCCAGATTCAAATCCCCAAGCTCCTTTTACTCTTTTCCAGCATAAGCTGCGTGTGTTCCCAGGGGGCCCTTAGTGCTACCAAGCAGAAGATACTAAACAGCTATTGCCTCTTTCACTCACTAAAGGGTAAGGAAAAAAAAAAAAGGAAAGAAACAGCAAAGGGAAAATATATGAGAAATATAAGTAGAAAATTCTTTGATCTGGAGGATTCCTCTGCTAAATTCCTCCTCTTGCCCAGAAGCATCCTGTCTTCTGAGGTTGTTGAGAACCTAAACTGAGGAGGATGGGAAGAGAACATACGTCAGGAGAGCAGTCTGATCACCCTTTTTTGGTGGTCTCTACAAGACTATAGACTGGTGATATCATGGGAGTGGCTGCCATTAACATTTTCAGGCAAAATGGGTACTTTATGCTGCCCACTCCAGGGGCTATTTTTCAGAGGGCTTCAGAGATCCATTTTATTCCTTAAGGCCCAAATGTTTATTCCCTCCTGGGTGTGCTCTAAGCAGACAAAGAGGGGTGCTGGAATGGCTTGTGGGCTGTATAGCTCTGGTGTATAGCATAGGGACTGCATTCACCTCACCATTGAGTCAAATGTGGTCTCTGTGCTCTCTTAGAATATGCTGCTCACCACCAATAAGCCTCCAAGCTGCCTGTGTCTCATCTGTCATAACCTGTGCCTACGATTGTGTGTTGGTGCAAATATGAGAATAGTGGTAGGGATTTTGTTCATACCTTACTAACTGTATTTTAAACCTGGGACTCAGCCAAGATGTGAACGGATACAGATCATTATAAAAGGGTGTGTACATGTTTTAAAATGTGTAACCTAAGCAACTTAAAACAATATTAAACTTTCATTTTCATCCCCCATCCACTTTTAAAGTATTCATGTGTGGCCCTGCCTCTTTTGCAGTAGTCCATTCAAAGTGATGTGGTCCTTGACCCAAAGAAAGCTGTGAAGACTTGATCTCCAGGGAGGATGGAAAGCCCACTCTTGGTACCCCCAAGGTTTCAGAATCACTGGCTTTTATTGGTGAGGCTGCAGATCTACTGATAGTCAGAGTAAACACAATGGGTTGGACAAGAAGTCTAACCTGGAAGAAGAAAGTATCTTTGGTTTTTATTCAACCCCAAGTAACATGGAGGAAATTTCCTTCCTTCCTTCCTTCCTTCCTTCCTTCCTTCCTTCCTTCCTCCCTCCCTCCCTCCCTCCCTTCTATTTAAGATAAAAACAAAAGAAGGAACAACTGGGCCTATCTATCTCCTGCGTGGACTGACTGATCACTGCTGAACAGAAAAAGAAGTTGAAAATGCAGTAGCACAGCAATGGATTTTTTTCCTCTGCAGGTATTACTTGACGGGGCACTAGGCAAGCAATGGACATGACCAAAGGCAGCAGCAGAAATGAAGCAAGCTAAAGAGGGCAAGGTTTCTCTCCCTCTCTTCTGACCTCTTTTTCCTACACCTTGCTTTAGAGCATCGATTTCTCTCTCCACCTTTTTCTGCTGAGAAAAACAAACAAGTTCTTTTTTGCTGGAAGTCTGAAATAAACCCTCTCAGGCAGTTTGTAAAATTAGATCAAGGGCTACAGATTTTTGGGAGGATTGTCTGAACCCAATCTTTGAGTGGAGAAGGAACCTCATTTCAGAATACTGAAGCCAATGTAAAGGGCCAGTGGGAGATCTTTTTCCCCTGCTAAAGAAGATACCAGCTTCAGAAAAGAAATTCTTCTCAGGACTGCAGGAGAAGAGGAAAGGGTTTGATGTTTGTTTGATATCGGCTCTGATACTATCAGATACATATCAGTGATTAACCTCCCCCATCCCAGTTGATGCCTTTCGCATATTAAAAAACCTTGCATATTTAGCACAAACTCTTATCCTTTGACTATCACAGAATGTTATTTTAAGTTAGAATGGGCACATAAACTTGAAAGAACTCAGTTTTCTATGCTAGCAGTTGTATGGAGGTCCAGCTTGCCAGACAGGCGTATGAAATAAGCTAATTTAAAGGTAGAATTTGCAGCCCCTGGCAGATAGTTAACGCTAATTGGTATTATAGTCCAAAATATCTAGAGCAAGTCTCAGCAATGTGGCATCTATGGGTGGCACTGACTGAAATCATACAAGAGGTCAGAACAGAGTAGGACTTGTGAAATCCTGTGAGATTTGATTATCTCTTAAGACTTGGCATATCTAGTACCAGAAAAAAAGAATGGCAGGTTTGAGATAGCTATGACATCATGACAGCTAAAATTACACAAGCATTTACTCAAATTATTTTTGGTTTTATATAGTAAGACAGGAAATTAATGGAATAGCAGCTTCCTCAACCTGATACCCTCCAAGCATATTGGCCATGCTGCCTATGGATGGTAACTGCAGTCCAGCATCTTTGGATCTGGCACTAGTTTGGAGAAAGGATAAACTCTTATATTTTTATCCCATACTTTGACCAAAGGGTTCATTATGGCAGACGCAACTACCTTATCTGCCGCTTAAAAATATATGGAAACCTACTAAAGTGATTGGGCCTGGCTCAGGATCATCCCTAAAACCTTCCTATGTACAGGAATTTGAATCTGGGTTCCTCTGGCTTAAGACCAACAACAGCTTTGATGCCACACTGGATCTCCTTTGCAATGGATAATGCACTGCATTATAGATAAGAAATGGTCAACTATGTCATCCATGTAGCAAAGATTTAGGGCAGTTTGTATAGTGATCTCCTTGAAGAAATCTCAACTTTAATGCAAGTCCTTCAGAATAATCTGTGTAGGTACACACACATATGTTATCTTCTCCTTGTACTTTATCCCATTCGTTGTACTTCCGTGGCCAACCCTGGGGTTGAGAGGGGGCTCTGGCAATATATGCTAACCCCTTAAGCCCTTACTTCCTGCTACAACCCCCCAATAGCTCACTGTTGGTTGCAGCAAGATAGGTAGACTCTTCAAGAGATACATATAAACCTCTTATTTTCCATTCCAATATCTCAATTAAGGCTTGCCCAACACAATGTGGGTAACCAAAGTTAGAGGATGACTGAAACCACCTGCTGCAGGAAATAATAAGGCTAGGGGAAAATTGGGGAAGGGAGTTGGACCCAAACTGGGGACAGACCCCAGGACCCGTGCAATTGCCAAAATGGTGGTATTGCTTTCCACCTCGTTACAATATTACAATTTTTTTACTCCTCAGGCATTTATAGAAATCACATTTTCTTCAAGAACATGATTTTTTCAAATAAAGGGATACACAAAGTTCTACCAGATGACTCTACCAATGGTGAAACATTATGGGATTATTGTACCTTTTCCTCAAAGGTTTTGCTGAGGTAAAACTAAAGCCAAAAAGGCACAAGGTAAACACAGGTTAACTTGAAGTCAGTGATACCTGAAGCTCCTGGAACTATTCTGTGAATGAGGAAGAAAAGCTGCACAATACTGCAAAGCCCTTGTCTAGAAGTGCCCACATTTAATTGAATCAAGGATGTCTGAAATGACTGTTCCCTATCTCTTTTGGAAATTATTTACTGCTGCTACTAATTCAATTCATTTGCTTGGAAGCAAAAGCCGGTCCACACATCTCACAATTTTTTACACTGAGATTGACAAACAAAACAGAGAAACTATGGGCAAATCTCCTTCAATAGTCACCAATTTCCAGATCCAGAAGAAATTTCAAGTTGAGGTCTGTGACTGTGTCCTACAAAGACACCAAGAGTTCTGTATTGTGGTGGACTGGTAGGTGTGTTGTGCATCCAGGTGTGCCTTACCGCCCATGAATAACGGGTGCAGTCACCATGTTCTCGGACCACTTCCCCTTCATAGGGCCCAAAGATGCAGCCACGAGGTAGGGCTGGGAGAGCACTCCACACTCCAAAGCCTCCTTGGGAACGTTCCTTGACCAGAAGTCCCTCAGGCAGGGACAGCAGTGCCCGTGATGGAGCTCTTTCTGGAACAGGTGTGTCAGCCACAAAGGTAGGGGGTCCGTGCTGTGGGCAGGAGTCGCGGAAATAAAGTCGGCAGTCTTCACAGACTGTAGGGAAAGAAAGAAGTTTAAAAAATGGGTCTTGTGGGAACTCTGGGGCAAGCTCACAAAAATGGTGAAGAAAGACCACATACATCACCCAGTGCAATCTGGGGAAATGAGAGATCAATTAATATGCCA